TTTTGCTTAATCTACTTATTCAATTTTTTCTTTGTTTGAAGTTACGGTGGAATCGAAAAAGAAATTATCTAGTTTGCCCATAAGCGCAAAGCTGCGAAAGATTAAATTAATTATTGGGCATTATTGACGAAAATTTACGAGCTGATTTTGTTGAAACAGAACTTGTTAAAAAATATAAATAAATTATAATCGGGAAAATGAAATTATGGAAGTGAAACGAATATGAAAAATGAAAGCAAAATTTACTTTGGAACGAAAGTCTTAAAGCTTTTTTTATACCTTGTGGTATCCATACTCTAAACTTAATAATTATTAACTATGCAGAAATAATACATATCAAATATAATTAGTTTTTTGTCAATATAGTTCAAGAAATGTGTAATTTCTTTGCATTTTTTACTCATTTTTTGACAATACTTCTAAAATAAAAAAATGATAATAAAATTTAACTTTAAAACAACAATTTGATAATCTGAATGAATACAATTCGGCTCCTACGATATCAATAAGGAGAAGTTTACGATGCAATTTTGGATATTGTGAAAAATTAAATTAAATTAAAATTTAAAAAATCGAACATGAAATACGAGTGTTATGATTGAAAACGACAAGCTAGTTTTTTTTAGCTGTCTTGGCATGATTTGCTCAATAGAATAAATCGCACAATAAATAAGTAAAATGTTTCCAAACCCAAATATTAATATTGCACATACGTTAAAAATAATTGAAAATTTAAATATTTTTGATTATAATCAACCCGCAAATTACCTCGATTTTCTACATAAATTAAAAATCAATGTATTTTATACTCTTTTAGATTATATCTTATTTTTTGTGTACTAAATCCAATCAAATTAAAAAATACTTTAAAAAAAAATTGAAAATATTTATATAATTTTAATGATAAACTGTTAAAACAGTTAAAATTAATAGGGGGGGGGAGGCGCTAGAAAAAAAGTTGCATGCGGGCAACTACACATATACATATATATACTCATAAACCTACGCATATATACATATATATATATATATATATATACACATATACATACATTGACAAACATTAGACTTCGCCCATTTAAAAGATAAGTATAATGTTTATGAATTTATAACATTGATTTAACAAGGTAAGAATTTATATCATTCTAGATCCTCCCCCCACGAAGTAATGCCTAACGGCGGTTTCCGTGGCAAAGCGGAGGTTTTAGTCGGTATTATACAGGGCGGTATCGAGTCCGACATACCCAGACAGAAGACCGGTCTGGGATGCGTAAAAGCATTTCCTTCGCTATACAAAAAAAAAACATATACATACATATATATATATGCGGCGACACCCAAGTACAGCCCTGTATTTAGTATGGGCCTGTAGCATTTGGGAATGCGCACGCATCAAGATGGTCGTCTCAGGCCTGAATAAAAGAACCTGCCATCGAAGCAGAAGGCCTATTCTACCATCCGGCAGCCAAGAGAGATATACAGCACGATATAAATATTGTACCTACATTTCACGGCGAATAAGCAATAACAAACTATACCAACTGTTTCAATCCATCAACTGCTTCATTGGTGACTCCGACGTGATGTAATAGTTGGTGACGTGAGTAAAACAGAACAATAGTGAATTAACTTAAGTTTATTATTCAAGATTCAACAACATTTTTATTTTATTTTTTATAAGAAGTGTAATTTTTCTTTTTTTGAACATGCAGTGACATTTTTTTTTAGTGAATATTTAATTTGTTTTTCCCAATTATTTGTGAAATGAGTGAAGAAGATAAGACAGTGAAACCAGAAAATTCAAACGACGCAAATGCAGGCGTATCACATGGAATTGCAAGGCCTATACCAACATTTTGGTATGAAAAACCTCAATTATGGTTCGCGATGATCGAGGCACATTTTAATCGATCACGAATAAAAACAGAAGATGTCAAATATGAATTTATATTATCATATTTAGATGACAAATTAGCCAGTGAAGTGGAAGATATAATATTAAATCCACCGAAAGTCGAACCCTATACTAAGTTAAAGAAAGAAATAATACAACGTTTATCACAGTCACAGGACCAAAAGATTCGAAGGTTGCTACAGCAAGAGGAACTGGGTGATCGAAAACCGTCGCAATTTTTACGACATCTAACATCATTGGCCGGTCCACTACTAGATGAAAATATTTTAAGAACCTTATGGCTACAAAGATGACCTACGCATACACAACAAATATTAAAGGCCCATCCGACCATGAAAATTGAAGACCTAGCCGCCATCGCAGATAGCATCGGTGAGGTTAACATCGTGCCAACAGTAGCCGCCACAAGCCTTACCGACGGTACAACGTCTGAATTATTAAAACGAGTAGAAGACCTAACAAAAATGGTAGCTGAATTGCAAAATAGACGTCCTAGATATCGGCATAATTCTCGTTCTAGGAAAATCTCGCGCACAAAAAGTTTTTCAAGCCAAAGAAATGGTTGCAAACGAAGCTTTGATACGTGCTGGTACCACTACAAATTTGGAAACAAAGCCAAGAAATGCACGCAACCATGCAAAATGTCGGGAAACGAAGAAGACAGGCACTAGATGCGGCAAGTGTTTGTCAAACACTTTCACGCCGCATGTTCATCTCAGATAAACCAACCAAAGTACAATTTTTGATTGACACAGGTAGTGATCTGTGTATATACCCACGCATGTTTATACAACATAAAGTTTCAGAGTCCAATTACAAACTGTCTGCAGCAAACAATACCGAGATTCGTACATATGGAGATATACAGTTGAATCTCGACTTAGGTCTAAGGCGCAAATTCATCTGGAATTTTGTTATTGCTGATGTGTCAACACCCATAATAGGCGCAGATTTTCTGTCATATTACAACATAATCGTCGACACAAAGAATTCAAGACTAGTAGACGGTACTACAAACCTACAGGCAAAAACAATAAACAAAGGAACAATACAACAGGGAAGCATCAAAACGGTCAACGTAACATGCCGATTTAGCAAAATTCTTTCAGAATTTCCAAATTTGACTAAATTACCTGGCCTACCACAAGAAGTTAAGCACACGACGGTACATTACATCAAAACAACTCCTGGACCGCCTGTCAGATCGCGACCTCGTCCATTGAGCACAGAAATGTTAAAAATAGCTAAGCAGGAATTCCAGGACATGATGCAGCTAGGAATAGCGCGACCGTCAAATAGCCCTTGGTCTTCACCATTGCATCTCGTTAAGAAGAAAGATGATGCATGGAGACCCTGTGGAGATTTTAGAATGCTGAACAATAGAACCATTCCTGACAGATATCCAGTGCGACTCATATCTGATTACTCGCAAAATTTAGCGGGCTGCAAAATTTTTTCCATAATTGATTTAAAGAAAGCGTACCAACAAATACCAGTGTACAAAGAAGACATACCGAAAACCACCATAACAACACCATTTGGATTATTTGAGTTTCCTTTCATGACCTTCGGTCTGAGGAATGCAGCTCAAACCTTCCAGCGTTTTATCGATGAAGTGACTCAAGGATTGGACTACTGGTTTCCATACGTGGATGATATTTTGGTTTCATCTAAAAACCCGGAAGAACACGAGCAACATCTGCGTTATCTGTTCCAACGACTTACAGATTATGGTGTAGTAGTGAACGCTTCCAAATGCATTCTAGGAGCGCCAGAAGTAAAATTTCTTGGTTATCACATCACAAAACATGGCACTAAACCACCAATCGAAAGAATAAGTGCACTGCGAGCATTCCCGAAACCACGTACCATCAAATCTCTTCGTAGATTTCTGGGAATGATTAATTTTTATCGCAGATTTTGTCCAAACGCTGCACAATACCAAGCAAAATTACAATCTTTGTTATCTGGACCTAGTACTAAAGGAGCAACTGAAATAGAGTGGAACGAAAAACTCTCAGAGGCATTTGAAAAGTGTAAAGTGAATCTGGAAGAAGCTACTCTATTAGCACATCCAAAGCCAGAGGCGCAACTCGCAATGTTCACAGATGCTTCGAACACATGCATTGGCGCCGTCTTACAACAACGGATAAATAATATCTGGGAACCACTCGCATATTTTTCCAAAAGACTGACCGAAAAGCAACAAGAATGGCCCGCATTTTATAGAGAATTATTAGCCGGTTATACATCTTTGAAATGTTTTAGACACATGTTGGAAGGTCGCAATTTCATCTGGTTTACAGATCATAAGTCATTAATTTATATTTTTCAACAAAAACAGGAACGCCTACCTCCAATACAATTGAATCAAGTCACTTTCATTTCTTAATTCACAACCGATGTTAGGCACATTAGCGGAGCAAAAAACATAACCGCTGATACATTTTCGAGAATCGAAGCAGTTAGCAGCTTTACAAACATAATTGAAATTGCTGAAGCGCAAAAAGAGGACCAGGAACTAAAAAAATTTCTTTCAAAAGAAAGTTCATTGCAGCTCGAAAGCCAAGCCATCCCAGGAACAACACACAAGGTATTTTGTGACATATCGCAACATTTACCAAGACCATTTGTTCCAGCAGCTTTAAGAAAGAAGATATTTAACAACGTGCACAACCTAAGTCATCCAGGTGTTAGAGCAACAATCAAAATGCTGACAAAACGCTTTGTTTGGCCGAATATACGGCGTGACTGCCGGACCTGGTCAAAGAATTGCATACAATGTCAACGCAGCAAAATAGGTAGACATACAGTCACACCTTTACAAAAATTTAACGTTCCATCTGCAAGATTTTCACACGTACATATTGACATCGTAGGTCCTCTACCAATTTGCAAAAGTGCGCGATATTTACTAACATGCATAGATAGATACACTAGATGGATAGAAGTTTATCCACTATCAGACATAACTGCAGAAACAGTGACTTGGGCTTTTATTTTTTGTTGGATATCCAGATTCGGAACACCGGCAACAATAACAACCGACAGAGGAAGACAATTCGACGGAGCAACATTCCGCAATATGGCACAGTTTTGTGGAACAAAACTAATACATACTTCGTCGTATCACCCGCAGTCTAATGGCATCATCGAAAACATACACCGAACACTAAAGTCTGCCCTTATGTGCCACGAAAATGAGTCATGGTTAGAAGCATTGCCATGGGTTCTATTAGGATTGCGAGCAGTGGCGAAAGAAGACTTAAAGAATTCTAGCGCAGAACTCACCTTAGGAGAACCTTTGAGACTTCCTGGTCAATTTTTTAAAGATCACACGGACATATCAACTACAACCGTCATGGATAATTTACATAGGATCTTTAGAAATTTAAAACCACAGCCTACGTCATCTCATAGCCCGAAAAAGAGTTTCATCCATAAAGATCTGGACAAGTCTAGTCATGTTTTCATCAGGCAAGATATGATAAAGCCGACTCTGACGCAACCTTATAAAGGACCTTACAAAGTTTTGGAGAGAGGAGAAAAGACTTTTAAACTGGACGTTTCGGGCCAGCCAAAATCCTTTTCTAAAGACAGACTGAAACCTGCATACACGACTGCCGAATAATCCATGTTTATATTTATGTAAACATTACTCACAACTATATTGCAATCATAGCAATGCGAATATAAGTATTTGAATTTTCTATGATTATGAATTCATAAGGTTATTTTTAAATTTATGCCAAGCGACAAAAATCTCTTTTATTTAGATAGTATTTCCAAATTTCTCACAAAACAATAAAAACGTCGCGCAAAGGATTCGCAATTCGTTTCACACATGTGTAAAATCTTGGTAAAAATATTTTTTAAAAAGTCTTTTCTTCATTATATCTTCAACCAGTCTACGAACAACACACTATCTATTTGTGACTTTTTTAAATTCAGTATTTTGTGAAAATATTGTGTAATTACAAGTTTAATATTTATAATACATAGTGTGGATTATTAAAATGGATTATTAAAATTTTTCAATTTAACACTAAGATTAACTAGTTGTAAGTACTATTTACTCTTTTTATTTTATCTTTTCACTCCTATTCAATTGTTTTAGTTTTTAATTTTATTTTTAGTTTTCACTGAATGAGGGCTAGGATTATAGCCGAAACGTATGGATTTAAAATCATTTTTTGAAAGAAATTCATGTTTTATTGATGTTATGACCGATTAGTAGACTTTGTTAATACATATGTCAACATCAAATTCAGAATTATACTATATATATATATATATATATATATATATATATTTATATATATATATTTATATATATATATATATATATATATATATATATATATTCTTGAATGTTAATATTTTCAGCTAATCGTTGAAATCAAAGAACAATAAATAATGAACTATTCATTTATACGTTTCGACAAGGTATGTGTGTCATCATTCAGCAATTGTTCAAAATATTTTGGCAGTATCTAAACGAATTTTTACAAAGTTTAAAAAGATTAAATTTATAATATAGATCAAAATAAAATAAACAAGTAAAAAATAGACACACACCACGCCAGGAAAACAATCACAAAGATTTAAACTAACATTATCGAAAAATAAAAAATATTGAATAAAGTAAAAATTTTTGTCTTAAAGTTAAACCAAAGAGTTATGTAGTGTATACGTATGTTATTTTATTCGAGTTTAAACAAAAGTGAATAATTAATCAAAATTCTACCAAACACTTGATTATTGTATTGAAATTGATCGAAATTAATTTTAGTTGATATAATTACTAATGTCAATAAATAAGTCCGCAAAAAGCAGGTGAAAAACACCGTCAAAAAAAACTTTTCAGGACGCGCAAAACGGTTGTACTGTTTACAACTACAAGACTATGACCATGAGGCTCAACATCTGACAAGATTGTTACTATAGTTTTTTTCATGTTATACAATCACGGAAGCGTTAATAAAATTGCCAATCGGAAATAATGCTACTGTATCATTTTGTCTATATGTGCCATTTTGTCCGTGTTTCTCTTATATACACACACATATATACATACATACGAGGTGTGGCAATTAAGTAATGAGACTGATTCCGTAAAAACCGTATAATTCAAAATTATTTCACAACTCTGTCATCCCCTTCAAAGTAGAACCCTTGGGCAGCTATACAACGATTCCAGCGCGTTTTCTATGCTTTGTAACATTTCTGGAAGGCTTAGACTAGGGGGTCTGCAAGTACCCTCGTCACGGCCGCCTGGATGTCCTCAATTGACTCAAAATAGGTTGATTTCACCACCGATTTTGTTCTAGGGAGCAAAAAAAGTCACTGAGTGACATATCGCGCAAATAAGGCGGTTGTTGCAACACGGCAATCCCTTTAGAGGCCAAATACAGGGACACGCTGAGGGCGGTGTGGCCAGCGCCTCGTTCTGATGAAGTATCCAGTTAAGGGCAATGTCTGAGCGCACCCTGTTGATTCGTTTTCGCAATCTTTCAAGTACTTGCCGATAGTAGACTTGATTTACGGTTTGCCCCGATTGAACAAATTCTTTGTAAACGATTTCACGGGTATTAAAACAGATAATCATCGCCGTTTTCACCTTCCTCGTTTTCCACGTTATCACGCCCCTCCTTAAACTCCTCATGTGATCAAAACACCTGGGCACGACTAAGAGCACTATCATCCTGCATGTTTACAATTTTAGCGTACGCTTCCGAAGCTGTTTCGTCAATTTTACCAAAAATTTTATCGCGTTTTAGTTCGTTTTTTTTCATTTTCTTGACGAGCACCAGGTACACACGTTTACTCAACAAGGCAGAGGAGGCAAACTAAACAAGCCAGAGAAAAGGCAAATATATCAATAAAGAGGGGAAGGATGCCGGGAGAAGGGAAAAACTATTTTAAGGTCGTAGGGTTACCACAATCGCGGCAATATAATCAGTCTCATTACTTAATTGCCACACCTCGTATATATGTATGTATGTATGTATATATATATATATATATATATATATATATATATATATATATATATAAGCATTTCTAAATCTTGTGTTAATAAACGCCATGATGCCTCCTTACTCTGTGAAAATTATCAGGTGATACTTAATAATATTTCCAAATTTGTTTCCTCTTAACCTGCATAATTCCGAACCTGTAAACCTACCCTTACGCGGTCCGATCCCGAACTTTGATTCTTAGCCTCTCACGCATACTTCGAAACACTGATTGTAAAAAACCCGCCAACTATTCCCTCAAACGGTCTCTTCAAATAATTTTTAAACACATGTTACTACAGCCTCGGGCTCGGTCAAATAAACTACGTTCTCTGTGCAAAATATATTATATATTTCACAAATATTTTACTATGCTCTGTTCAACAAAATAATAATAAAAAAAACAAGTTAGTGTATATATAATAGTGCAAAATTATGTGCCTTGCGCTAGCTACTGATGTAAGACCATATTTATGTAAGTTAGCTTCGTTGTCTATATATATATGTATGTGTCTGTATTGTATGTGTATGTATATGTATATATATATATATATATATATATATATATTTATATATGTGTATATATATGTATATGTATATATGTATATATGTGCATGTATGTATATATGTATATGTGTATGTGTATGTATGTATATATGTGTATATATACATATGTACATGTCCGTATGTATATGTTTATATATACGTATTATTCGTATGTATATATGTATATGTGCACGTGTTTGTACATGTATATCATATATACATGTTTGTTTGTGTGTATATTTATGTATATATATTACGCTTTTGTATGTTTGTATATATTTCTTTTTACTTTTCATTTCTTTTGTTTATCTAGCTGTTAAGTATATTTGTTATTGTTATAATTATATTACTTATATCTATAGTTCTTTTTGCAATTTCTGTCAATTTATCCCTAGTTTATATTAATTTTTCAATATTCATTCTGTAGATCCACTAATGATGACATGAAATACTATGTCGAAACGTTTGGAAAAATTAAAGATTAACTTCTAAATCTTTGCCTTTTATTTGATGTATGCCCTTGAAGAACTTACTCATATTTCTCAACATCAAAACTAACTTCTCTAACACACACACATATATATATATATATATATATATATATATATATATATATGCAGGGTGACTAATATGTATTGCAACTAACTTCAAACTGCTATCATTTCTAAATCACTCATCAGGCAGCTGATAGTGGGCGATCGCTTAAACTCTCCAGCATTTAAATGCGAACAAATATTTTATTTTTCGTACCATATTTTGTAACCATGATACACCCAGTCTTGCACCCCGTCCAAAAAGTAGCACTCTCGTAACACTAACAGAACCAGAAATGATCCGAAAAGTGAAGGGAAAAATTGATCGAAATTCGTGTCGCAGTGAAAAAATGGCTCGTGAGCTGAACATATCGCGAGAACGGATGCAATACATATTGCAAAATGAGTTTGGACAAAAGCCATTGAAGTTCCAAAAGTGCAAGAGCTCATCGATGCACAGAAAAAAGTTAGATGTGGATGTGCCAAGAAGTTGCTTCAATTGCACGAAAGTGGCTAGTTACCGAATTTGGTTTTCTCCGATGAGAAGTCATTACAAATTGAGTTGTTTTGTGAACGAACAAAATGATAAGGTTTACTTGCCAAAGAGGTCAGCTAAAAATTCCATCAGAACTCAAGCGCCGCCGACGGTAATGGTGTGAACCACCGTAACGGCCGATAGTGACATTCCGTATTTATCGACCGTGGGATCAAAATAATTGCCGAAATTATTGGGAATATATCTTAAAGGCAGTTTTGAAGCTCTGGGTAGACAAACATTTTGGCCGCAGACCATGGGAATTCCAACAGAAGCCAATACCATTAAACTCAGCACGCGCCAACCTGAAATGCGTTTAAAAACAGGTTTCTTGCTTCTTCCAAAATCTCTGGATCTAAATGCATTGGCCTTTTGTGTCTGGGGCATTTGAAATAGTACGATCATCTCAAGAAGGCGCTTCGCCGCAAATGGGCCAAAATTTCTCAGAGCCACTTTCGTGCAGCGTGTTATGTTTTTTTCGACCGTATGAAGGCCATAATTCGTGTCAAAGTTGGCCAATTAGAATAAATCTAAACTGGTTCTAAAATTTGATGTTATTTTCGACATTTTTGATTTTGAACAATAAAATTTAAAAGGAAAATGAAAAAATATAGCGCTTTACTTTGTTGCATTATTCATCAGCCACCTTATATATATGTATATATATATATATATATATATATATATATATATATATTATATATATATATATATTTTATATATATATATATATATATATATATATATATATTGTCTATATTCTATATAATTATTTGTTAGGAATCTATAAATTAAATAACAACACGGTGCAGTATTCTTTAACTTTTATTCAATATTCTTACTAGTCCGTCTCTACGCGTTTCACTCTGTACTCTTTCTGTTTCCGACTTGCATACATTCACTCTGTTCGTACAGTCACTATTGCCAACTGCACACACACTCTCCAGTCTTACCAACCAACCGCACGGACTCTCATGATCCGCGCCATATTCAAACATCC